TATATACAGAAATGATCTAATGAGCACCGGTGCTCATCTTATCCTAAACACCAATGAGTTGGCACATTAATTCATTGGTGGATTGGAACTCACAAAATCTTTATCCACCAATGAATTAATGTGCCAACTCATCGGTGCTTAGGATAAGATGAGCACCGGTGCTCATTAGATCATTTCTGTATATATATATATATTTCTCTTTTTAGAAGTAGTTTTAGAATAATACTTTTTGTACATCAACAGGTACATAAAACTTTATCTACGTCCCATCATAATTTTTTTTCTTCTCACTCACGATTTTCTTCTACTAATGCATTCCCATTTAATTTTTTTTTTTTTAAATTTCTTAAGCTGACTTTTCATTTTTCTCTACTAAGCATACCATTTGAATCATTTACTAAATGACAACCTTCAAATCACTTAATGCCATTATGTTAATTATAAAACAAAACTGCCATTCATATGAAAATGGTGCCTACACGTTTATAACTCATAACCCACCATTTATACACCTAATTAATATTCAATTACCACTGTTTTAAATCCCATTTTGGTTAATACCAATTACCAATATCATTTTTGCATTTGAAAAATAATAATCTCCTATAACTTGTAAGGCCACATTTCTTTTCCCAAACTATTATGCCCACGCATAAATTATTCTGCTTTTCTTCCCATAGACTAAGGCAATTGATTCTAAAAAATTTTTCTAAAGAAGAAGTAAAGAGAATACTGAATTTTATTATATATTGAACGTAAGAGGATATTCAAACTCGAAGTGTTTAAGGGAGGGGTGTTTCGGCAATTTTGTAAGTGAAGTAAAAATTACTTGTTTTCGATTTGCATTTAACGTGTTATTGTGTTACTCATGAGAGAATGGAATCACCATTTGGTGTTTCAAATAAGAGATGAAAAAATGATTTATGACACATGAAAGGGGGTTATTAAAACCCGAAAGTAAATGAATTGATTGATCACCGGTTCATTTTGCATAATTGACGGTGACACAAATAACCAAAGTTGCATTTTTTAAAAAATATATTTTTTACCATTTACTTAAATATTTCATACTGAGTATTACTTGTGGTACTCACTCCTATAAAATTTACAGGTTAATTGAAGGGACGACAATGGTTTGGCATAGTAGCAAGTGCTCGGTGATCGAAATGCTTTTAACTTTTTAGTAAAATTTTCATTTGTGTAATTTTTTTTTATGAATACTTAGGCAACACTTTTAAAATGTTTAACTTTCTGTTTCGCCTAGTTTTATATATATTGCATGTCGACTATAATTTAGAAACGTTGGAATGATTAAGCATGAAGTTTATTATTGCTGGATTGAATTTCAGATTCTATTCTCCTATTTAAAAATGGTATAACTTGGGTTACAGTGCGTGTTTTAGAGTCAAGTTAGTGGGATTTGAAAGGACTATGAGTCTTTTAATAGGGGTCTTTGGAATTATCTTAAAATGTTACATGGAGAAAAAGTTATGTCCGTTTTAGTAAACTGCATCGGTACAGTTTCGAAATTTCTGTATATGAATGTCATAGTCTCTGCTAAAATTTCATAATTTTTAGTCGACATTTGTTAGGTCAAACATATTTTTCTTTCTGCTGCTGTGCAACCGATAGTTGCTGAATTTTCTCGAAATGTTTTCCAAAATCAAAATTCACCATAATTGTCTAAGTCTATGTGGTCACATATCTCCCATTATTATTCTTTTATATTTCAAAATCCAAAATTTTTATTAGTTACAATATATTTTGGTTAACATTAGAGACCTCCAACTAAAAAGATTTTTCGTGTAATGTTTCGAATTTCAAGCATTTTTTTTTTTGGGTGTTACAACTTGGTATAGAGAAAATGTCTATTTTCTGTAGACTTGTATTAGAGATCATATCTCAGGTGTGCTGTGTTGCATATAAAGCTGTTCAAATTATTTTTTCTTGAGGATCCTGAGCACCATGCTTGCCATAGCCACGTTATGCCGATTTTAAGGTAAAGAAGTTTTATAGATATACTTGTATCTATGTGATGAGTATGAGAAAGGTTATTTTAGATTCAACATTTGAAATGTATATATAAATATTATTATATGTTGGAGTTTGAATACTTTTTGTAGATAATCACTATCATACCAAGTATTTTGAGAATGTGTCCAAATTCAATATTTATTTAAGTTTTCGAAAATTAACTAAAACTTATTAGATACCCACTAATTGGATTTCGAATAATTGGTATGACACAGATGGTACGGATTAAGAAAACTTGTACGAAGACGAGTTCATAGGTGCATCGTCGATATGAAATCGTGAGGCAATATGAAGAGTATTAGTAAAATTCAGCGCACAATATGGGTCAGCACATTTGGGAAATGTTAGTAAGGTGGAAGGATGTGAGGCGACTTGGCCATATGGTCACTTATTGTCTGGCCACCCGTCTTCTTAATGATACCCTGCCAGAAGAGTGGCTAGAGGTAGCCGAATCGACTTGTAATTATTTATGGGAAGTTGTTGTGCCTACCTTGCCTCGAGAGATTGACTATAAGGCCTTCAGCGCAGAGCTTATTAAGCAGTGGGAGTTGGCCCGACTTGTGATTCCCGTGGACGATAGTGTATCTACTGAGATGTACATTTGTGAAGATGCACCTTAACTTTTTTCAGACGATGAGGCACAACCTTCTAAGAAACCTAGGGTTCATAGAGGCTGGATTAGTGATGATGATGGAAATGATGAATAGAAGAATGAAATTTTAGTGGATTTTATTAAGTTTAATTGTTGTTGATGCCTAGTATGATTCCTTTTGCTTTCTTGTTGATTTGCATTAGACGCTATTTTATTATTGTGTATTCCTCTTGAAAGATTATTTTGAGATAATAATAAAAGATCTTGGGTTGTAAATTTTTTTTCCCTCCCATTTTATGCAAGTATTGTATATTCCTCTAAGTGAGATTACAATTATTATGGCATATAGGAATATGGCGCAAGCAAGGACAATTGGGGAGTTAAGGCGGGGGATTGATGAGCTGAAGTTGGCCTTGACTGCTCAAGCTACACCTTCAGCACCTCAAGCTCTACTAGTTCTCCAAGCACCGCACGCCGACATACTCGGCTGCTCATTTATTCCGACTGTAGAACAGTTTCATAGATATCCTCACCTTTGATGGCGGGAAAAACCCTCTGGCAGCTGGGAGTGGTTGCGTACTATTGAGAAGATCTTTCGAAACATCTCTTGTCTAGAAGATTAAAAGGTATTATGTGCCGAGTTTATGCTAATTGGAAGAGCTAGCCATTGGTGGGAATCCTCATCATGCACTCGTACCGAGGAGGAACAATGCAATCTAACTTGGCCTCAGTTTAAGATAGAGTTAATAGAAAAGTATTTCCTGCATGCTCTTCGAGACTATAAGGAGGCATAATTTTTAAGATTGGTATATGGAGATATGGAAATTTCTGAGTATGAGAGTAAGTTCGAGAAATTATACCGATATGGCCTGCACCTTGTCAGTACCGAGCTCATGAAGGCAAAAATTACGAGAGAGGCCTATGCCCAGAGATCGGGTAGATTGTGAGTTTACACGATCCCACCACCTTTAAGGCAATGATAAAGAAAGCTCAAATAATGACCTCATCGAGTGTGAAGTTGGTAAATCATAGACCTCGTAATCGCTTCGAAAAAAGGAAGTGGCAGGATAAGAATAAAAATACATGATAGTTTAAGAAGTAGACAAATACGGGTCAGACACGCGATCTTTTACCTTAATGTCCTAAGTGTAACAAGTTTCACAGAGGAGAATGTTTGTATGGAAAGTATGTTTGCTATACGTGTGGTCAACCCGGTCATGTGGCTTCCTCATGGTCATTGATTAAGAAACCTGAGCAAGAGAATAAAGGAAAAACAAGAGTGTTTGCTTTGACTCATGACGAAGCCACCCAGAATCCGGACTTAATCGTATGTAATTTATCCGTCTCTAGTATTCCTGTTTACGTCCTTATGGATTCTGGTGCGACTCATTCGTTCATATCTAATACATGTCTAGCTAATATTAATACTTCATGTCAGAAGAGTGATAGTGTACTCGAGGTTAGTATGCCATCAGGTGGAATTATTGATACAGATTGCATAGTAAATGGGGTACGAATAAATTTTGATGGACTGACTTTAGTGGCCGACTTGTATGTTATAGAGATAAAAGATTTTGATATTATTTTAGATATGGATTGGTTAGGTGAAAATCGATCCACGATTGTATGTTTTGAGAAATAGGTAATTTTTCAAAGATCAAGAGAACATGAGTTTAGATTTTATGGGTCGAAGATTAAGGCACTTCCTCGCATCATCTCCGCTTTAAAATTTGAGAGCATGTTGAGGAAGCCTGATTGTCAGGGTTATCTTATCAGTCTTATTAGCACCTCATCTCAAGAAAAAGTATTAGATGAGGTGTGATTATGTTGATGTGTTTCCCGATGATCTACCGAGTACTTCACCCGATAGACAAGTGGAATTCACGATAGATCTGGTATTTGGAGCTACTCCTGTGTCCAAAGCCCCATACCGAATGGCACCAAAAGAATTACAAGAGTTGGAGATACAATTAGAAGAACTTCTAGATAAATGGTTCATCAAACTGAGTGTATCTCCATGGAGAGCTCCGATACTCTTTCTAAAAAAGATGGTACAATGA